ATTTCCGAGGGCCTTGGAAATGCTTCAGGATGAATCGAGATGTGGCCCGTCACCAGCGATTATTATTATTTTATTTTTTTTGAGGGGGGGTCAGTATTTATCGTGTCTGTTCGTCTTTATTTGTTATTTTAGGGCAGAGTGAGAAGATTTGAGGTGTAGAAGAAGAAGAGGAAGTAACTTCTACGACTTTAAGTTTAAATACTAATTCATTATCGTTTTTTCGGAGTGTAAGAATCTGTGTGTCAGTCGTTCATTTGTTTTTCAAAATAAAACTAAAAATAAGAACATGAAATAAAACAATGATTTTCTTCATTATTTGTCTCTAAAATTAAAAAAAAACAAAAAAAAAAAAAACAGATAATGATTTGTTTTTTTCAGTTTTTTGATTTGTGTTAAATAAAAAATGGAAAAAACAGATAACGGATGTTTCCCGTTTACGTGATTTAAACTGAGATGTCGGACTGAACCAGGACTAAAACAGGTCCAGGACCAGACCAGGACTGAGTCTGGGACCAGGACTGAATCAGGACTGAACCAGGACAAAAACAGGTCCAGGACCAGACCAGTACTGAGTCTGGGACCAGGACTGAACCAGGACTGAACCAGGACAAAAACAGGGCTAAACCAGGTCTAAACCGGTCTCAGTCCCGGTCTCAGTCCCAGTCTCGGTCCCGGTCTGGTCCTGATCTGGCTTCGGTCTGGTGCTATTCTGGTTCTGGTCTCAGTCCTGGTCTCAGTCCTAGTCTGGACCCAGTTTTAGTCCTGGTCTGGTCCAGGTCTCTTTCTGGTCTCAGTCCAAGTCTCCGTCCTGGTCTGGTCCTGGTCTGGTCCCAGTGCCAGTCCCTATCTGGTTCCTGTTTCAGTCCCAGTCTCAGTCCCATTCTGGTCCTGGTCTTAGTCCTGGTCTCAGTCCTGGTCTGGTCCTGGTCTCAATCCTGGTGTCAGTCCCGGTCTCAGTCCTAGTCTCAGTCCCAGTCAGGTCCTGGTCTGGTCCCGGTCTCAGTCTCGGTCTTGTTTTCCCGATCTGGTCTCTGGTCTCAGTCTCGGTTTAGGTTGAAGTCATTTTTTTTATTTTATTTTTTGAAAAACAAATGAATAAATGAAACATGGATTTGTTTGTTTTTCTTCAGTTGATGTAAATATGTTCATGTCTCTGTCCAATCAGAACCTTCCCCCAGACGCTGAATTAAATAAAGTCGATTTAACGAGTTTTCCACGTAAACCTCAATTCAGAATTATTATTTCCACGTAAACTCAAGGAAAATATTCTAATTCCAAACCACGATTTATACACAATATGACTTATGAGCATCGATCTTGAAGCGAAATGTCTCTTCTTCAGACTTTGGGCGGCGAAAGCTTTAATGAATTTCCGAGGGCCTTGGAAATGCTCAGGATGATCGAGATTGGCCCGTCACCAGCGATTATTTATTTATTTTTTTTGTTTTTGAAGGGGGGTCAGTATTTATCGTGTCTGTTCGTCTTTATTTGTTATTTTAGGGCAGAGTGAGAAGATTTGAGGTGTAGAAGAAGAAGAGGAAGTAACTTCTACGACTTTAAGTTTAAATACTAATTCATTATTGGATTTTTCTGGACTGACACTAATCTGTGTGTCAGTCGGTCATTTGTTTTTCAAAATAAAACTAAAAATAAGAAAATGAAAAAAACAACGATTTTCTTCATTATTTGTCTCCAAAACCAAAATGAAAAAAAAAACCAAAAAAAAAACAGATAATGATTAGTTTTTTCAGTTTTTCAGATTTCAGTGATTCCAGGACCAGACCAGGACTGAACCAGGACTAAAACAGGACTAAACCAGTTCTAAACCGGTCTCAGTCCCAGTCTGGTCCTGGTCTGTCCTCGGTCTGGTGCTGGTCTCAGTCCTGGTCTCAGTCCCAGTCTGGACCCAGTTTTAGTCCTGGTCTGGTCCTGGTCTCTTCCTGGTCTCAGTCCCAATCTCAGTGCCAGTCTGGTCCCTGTCTTAGTCCTGGTCTGGTCCTGGTCTGGTCCTGGTCTGGTCCTGGTCTCAGTCCTGGTCTCAGTCCTGGCCTCAGTCCCGGTCTGGTCCCAGTCTCAATCCTGGTGTCAGTCCCAGTCTCAGTCCTAGTCTCAGTCCCAGCCAGGTCCTGGTCTGGTCCCAGTTTGTTCCCGGTCTGGTCCTGGTCTCAGTCTTGGTCTGGTCCCGGTTTCAGTCCCAGTCTCAGTCCCAGTTTCAGTCTTGGTCTCAGTCCAGGTCTGGTCCTAGTCTCAGTCCTGGTCTCAGTCCTGGTCTAGTTCCGGTCTGGTCCTAGTTTCAAACCTGGTCTGGTCCTGGTCTCAGTCCCGGCCTTTTTTTTTTTTTTTTTTCATTTTGTTTTGGAGACAAATAATGAAGAAAATCATTGTTTTTTCGTTTTCGTATTTTTTATTTTATTTTGAAAAACAAATGAACAAATGAAACATGGATTTGTTTGTTTTTCTTCCGGTCGACGTAAATATGTTCATGTCTCTGTCCAATCAGAACCTTCCCCCAGACGCTGAATGAAATAAAGTCGATTTAACGAGTTTTCCACGGTAAACCTCAATTCAGAATTATTATTTCCACGTAAACTCAAAGGAAAATATTTTAATTCCGAACTATTTAATTCATAATTTAAAAACTCGGCCTTTGTGGTTTTATCCAAATGTTCCGTGATGTTAGAATCAAAACATCTCGGAAGTTTCTCCACAAACACTTCCAGGATTTATTTTATTTATTTATTTATTTATTTTCCGCACTTATCCTCATGTTCTCTCTTTCTTTTCCTCTTTCTCTTCCAGCCTCCTCCTCCTCGTCGTCGTCTTCTTCTCTTCTTTCTCTGGTGAACGAGGCTCAGTACTTGATGATCAATCGGAGCAGCGTGGAGTTTATTCACCGGCGAATCCACAACAGGTTTGAAAAGAAGAAGAAAAAAAAAAACGTTTTATTCCCAAATCGGTGACGCACGAAATCCGACTGGGAACGAAAGAGCGGAAGACTGAGAGAAATAGAGAGAGAAGAGAGAGAGAGAAAGAAAGAGAGAGAGAGAGAAGAGAGAGAGAGAAAGAGAGAGAGAGAAACAGAGAGAGAGAGAGAGAGAATAGAGTGAGAGAAAGAGAGAGAGAGAGAGAGAGAGAGAGTGAGAGAAAGAGAGAGAGAAACAGAGAGAGAGAGAGGAGAGAGAGAGAGAGAGAGAAACAGAGAGAGTGAGAGAAAGAGAGAGAGTGAGAGAGAGAGAAACAGAGAGAGAGAGAAGAGAGAGAGAGAGAGAGAGTGAGAGAAGAGAGAGAGAGAGAGAAACAGAGAGAGAAAGAGAGAGAGAGAGAACAGAGAGAAAGAGAGTGAGAAAGAGTGAGAGAGAGAAAGAGAGAGAGAGGTTTATGTCGTCTCTCACACCTCCCCTCACCTCCCTCTCCTTTTCCCTTTACTCCCTCCTTCTCTCTCCCTCTCTCTCTCTCTCTTCGTCTCCTCCCTCTCTCACCAACCTCTCCTCCTTACTTCTCTCTTTTACTTCCTTTTCCCTCTCTTTACCTCCCTCTCTCCGCTCCTCCCTCTCACCTGTCGCTTCTTCTCTCCTCCTCTCTTATTCCCTCTCTCTTCCCCACTCTTTCTTTTTGTCTCTTCCCTCTCTCACCCCTTCTCTCTCTTTCAACCTTTCCTCCACGCCTCCCTCTCTTTCTCCTCCTTCTCCCTCTCTTTCCCTCTTCTCTCACCTGACCCTTCCTCTTTCCCTCTTTCATACTCCCTCTCTCTCCGTCTCACTCTTTCTCTTCATCTCCTCCCTCTCTCTTTTCTCTCTCTCTTTTCTCCTCCTTCTCTCTTCCTCTCTCCCTCTCACTCTTTCGCTTTGTCGCCTCTCTCTCTCGTTCTCTCTCTCCGACCTCTCCTCCACACCTCCCTCTCGTTTCCTTTTACTCCCTCCTTCTCCCCACTCTCTCTCCCTCTCTCTTTCACTTCTTCTCCTCCCTCTCTCTCTCCGACCTTTCTTTTACTTCCTTCTCCCTCTTTTCCTCTCTTACCCTCTCCTCCGTACCCTCTCTCTCTCTTTTACTTCCGTCTCCCTCTCTTTCCCTCCCACTCTCCGCTCTCTCCCTCTCATCTGTCGCTTCTTCTCTCCCCCTCTCTTCCTCTCATCTGTCGCTTCTTCTCTCCTCCTCTCTTACTCTCTCTCTCTCCCTCTCACTCTTTCTTTTTGTCTCCTTCCTCTCTCACCCCTTCTCTCTCTTTCAACCTCTCCTCCTCACCTCCATCTCTTTCTCCTCCTTCTCCCTCTCTCTCTGCCTCTCACCTGCCGCTTCTTCTCTCCTCCTTTCGTATTCTCTCTCTCCGTCTCTCACGCTTTCGCTTCTTCTCCTCCCTCTCTCACCACCTCTCTCTCTCCTCTCCTTCCTCTCTCTTGTTTACTTCCTTCTCCCTCTCTTTCCCTTCCTTTCCCCGCTCTCTCCCTCTCACCTGCCTCTCCTCCTCTCTTACTCTCTCTCTCTCTTCACTCTTTCACTTCCTCCCTCTCTCACCACCTCTCTCTCTTTCTCCCACCTCTCCTCCTTACCTCTCTCTCTTTTACTTCCTTCTCCCTCTCTTTCCCTCCCTTACCTCTACGTCTACTTCCTTCTCTCACTCCGTTTCACTTTGCTCTCTCTTTCTCTCTCTCTCTTTTCCACTTTATCTTTTACTCTACTCTCTCTCCTTCCCTTTCCTACATCCCTCGTTCTTTTTCTCACCATCTCTCAACGTCTGTCTCCCTTCTCTCTCTCTTACCCGTCCCTTTCCCTCTTTTCCTTCTTCCTCTTTCTCCCTCCCCTTCCTTTCCCTCTGTCTCTCTCCTTCCATCTCTTTCTGATCCCTTCTTTTTCTCTATCCCTTTCTTTCTCCCTCCTTCAACTCTCTTTTCCTCTCTGTCGCCCTGTTGCTCTACCCTCCTTCTTCTTTCTCTCTTCCTCCCTCCTTCCCTCCCTCCTCCTCTCCTCCTCCGTCTCTCTCTTCTTGTCGTTCACAGGGAGCATTTGGAGGCAGATGAGCCGTTTGTTCTCGATGTGGAAAATGTCGTCAGTCGTTTCCGGGCGAATCTGCTCGTGTCTGGAGCCCAGGAGTTTCAGGAGGATCTGTGGTGTGGGCTGAGAGTCGGAGACGCGACATTCACGGTGAGAGCCACAGACACGAGCCACGGAGCCACAGACACGAGCCACGACAGAGCCACAGACACGAGCCACGGAGCCACAGACACGAGCCACGAGCCACAGACACGAGCCACGGAGCCACAGACACGAGCCACGAGCCACAAGACCGCCACGAGCCACAGGAGCCACAGACACGAGCCACGGAGCCACGCCAAGACACGAGCCACGAGCCACAGACACAGAGCCACGAGCCATAGACACGAGCCACAGAGCCACAGACACGAACTACGAGCCACAGACACGAGCCACAGAGCCATAGACACGAGCAGCCACAGACAAGAGCCACAGACACAGAGCCACAGACACGAGTCACAGACACGAGTCACAGACAAGAGTCACAGACAAGAGCCACGAGCCACAGACAAGAGCTACGAGCCACAGACACAAGCCACGAGCCACAGACAAAAGCCACAGACAAGGGCCACAGACACGAGCCACAGACACGAGCCATGAGCCATAGACAAGAGCCACGAGCCACAAACAAGAGCCATGAGCCATAGACAAGAGCCATGAGCCACAGACGCGAGCCACAGACACGAGCCACAGACAAGAGCACGAGCCACAGACGCGAGCCACAGACACGAGCCACAGACAAGAGTCACAGACAAGAGCCACGAGCCACAGACAAGAGCCACGAGCCACAGACAAGAGTCACAGACAAGAGCCAGAGCCACAAGTTTAGTTTATTTATTTATTTAATGAGACAGGGACAGTGCATAATACACATTAAGATCTTCTTATGAACATTTTTGGCTTTCACAAAAGTTTTTCTTGACTTAAAATGTTCTTCTGGAAGATTAAATCCTACGAACAGTTGGGAGCATCGTAAGAACATAAACTCTACTGTTTTAGAATTTTATTACTCTCATAGTTTCAAAAGATTTGTGGTTGCTTATGTACATAAATCACAAAACTTTGCAAATATTTATTTATATGAACAAATCCTAATGCTGTGAGGTCAGACGGTTTCCACGAAGTGAAACCGTCTGACCGGAGCATCGACCGGAGCATCATAACAATTCTGTATCTTCATTCACACCCAGTTCTCTCAGCGTCTTAAAATCCTCATCCTTCATCGAAACTGTCGTTCAATTCATTCCCTCCAGAACATCACACTCTCCCCAGACGCTTCTCAGTCCACATTATGGTTTGAAAGGAGCCACTGTTTCCTCAACACATTAAAGAAACTAAAGGAACATCAGTTTGTTTTTATCTCATCACATCAAGTGTTTCTACGGAAGCCGAGAGGGGCCACAACGAACGCAAACGCCGCAGCAAATACACATGCGACGACACAACAAAAAGCCACAACACACCAAAAAAATAAAGCCACAACGGAAATGACCGCGGGACTCTATTTGAATGCAAACGCCGCAACAAATACAAACGCCGCAACACAAACGCAAACGCCGCAACAAATACAAACGCGACAACACAACAAAAAAGCCACAACACACCAAAAAAAGCCACAACACATTAAAAAGCCACAACATATTAAAAAGCCACAACATATTAAAAAGCCACAAACATATTAAAAAGCCACAACATATTAAAAAAGCCACAACAACACATTAAAAAGCCACAACACATTAAAAAGCCACAACACATGAAAAAGCCACAACAGAAGTGACCGCGGGACTCTATTTTCCGACGGTCCGATCAAGCAGCAAGTGAAGAAGAAGAACTACAACGTGAAAAGTAAAGGAACGGAGAAGTTGGAAATGTAAGTAAAAGTAATTTATTGTTTCATCATTATTCGTTTCACGTTGTAGTTCTTCTTCTTCACTTGCCGCTTGATCGGTCCGTCGGAAAATAGAGTCCCTCGGTCATTTCCGTTGTGGCGTTTTTTGGTTTGTTGTGGCTTTTTTTGGTGTGTTGTGGCTTTTTTTGGTGTGTTGTGGCTTTTTGTTGTGTTGTTGCATTTGTATTTGTTGCGGCGTTTGCGTTTGTTGTGACCCCTCTCGGCTTCCGTAGTTTTCTGTTTGAGAAAAAAAAAAACACTCTGTCATATTCAAACAAAACACAACTCCAGGTTTGTTTTTTGATGAGAAAACAACATTATCATAAAAAAAAAAAAAAAAAAGTCTAATGTCCGCCCTTTAATTTAAAAAGAAAGTTCCACATTCATCATTTAAGAACACTAAATAAAACACGTCCAAACTATGACTCGGGGACCAGGTGTCGCCTTCAGACCCATTTTTCTTGGACATGAGACTTTCAGATGAATTATTTTAAGAGATACTTTTTACGGCGAGTTTATAAAATCTTCCTTTTATTAAGACGGTATCAAATATTTAGTGAGTTCAGTCTTTTGTTTTAATCTCTCGTCACGTCTGCGTCGGTCCTTCAGGTGTCGGGGCCGTGTGGACGATGTCACATGGTCGGGATCGACCAGGAGACCGGAGTCCGGACCAAAGAACCTCTGCTCACTCTGTCTGCGTACAGGAAGAACAGCAAGGTCAGGAATACTACTACTACTACTACTACTACTACTACTACTACTACTACTACTACTACTACTACTACTACTACTACTACTATTCACTCTGTCTGCGTACAGGAAGAACAGCAAGGTCAGGAATACTACTACTACTACTACTACTACTACTACTACTACTACTACTACTACTACTACTACTACTACTACTACTACTACTACTACTACTACTACTACTACTACTACTACTACTACTACTACTACTACTACTACTACTACTACTACTACTACTACTACTACTACTACTACTACTACTACTACTACTACTACTACTACTACTACTACTACTATTCACTCTGTCTGCGTACAGGAAGAACAGCAAGGTCAGGAATACTACTACTACTACTACTACTACTACTACTACTACTACTACTACTACTACTACTACGCTACTACTACTACTACTACTACTACTACTACTACTACTACTACTACTACTACTACTACTACTACTACTACTATTCACTCTGTCTGCGTACAGGAAGAACAGCAAGGTCAGGAATACTACTACTACTACTACTACTACTACTACTACTACTACTACTACTACTACTACTACTACTACTACTACTACTACTACTACTGTCTGCGCTACTAGGAACTACTGAACAGCAAGGTCAGGAATACTACTACTACTACTACTACTACTACTACTACTACTACTACTGCTACTACTGCTACTACTACTACTATACCTGCTACTATTACTTTTACTTCTATTTCTACTACTACTACTGCTGCTCACTTTGTCTGCATATAGGAACAACAGCAGGGTTACTACTACTGCTGCTACTACTACTACTGCTACTACTACTACTACTACTACTACTACTACTACTACTACTACTACTACTACTACTACTACTACTACTACTACTACTACTACTACTACTACTACTACTACTACTACTATAACTGGTACTATTACTGCTACTACTATTTTTTCTTCTTTTACTACTATTATTTCTCCTACTACTACTACTACTTCTTCTACTACTACTAGTACTACTATTACTGCTACTATTACTACTACTACTACTACTATTATTTCTTCTTATTTTACTGCTACTACTACTAGTACTACTATTACTGCTACTATTACTACTACTACTACTACTATTATTTCTTCTTATTTTACTGCTACTATTTCTAGTACTACTACTACTACTACTACTACTACTACTTAAATGTCTTCTGCTACTACACTGCAAAAAAGTTTGGCCCAAATTTTAGATATAAACACTTAAATCTATCAGAAAATGACTTGAAAGCAGTGAAATGATGTGTCCATGCAGAACGATCATTTTACTTGACAAGTTCTCTTAAAACTTAAACTACCTCAAGACTTGAATGAAGCGTCTCAGAACTAGTAAGAAAACAATAAATGAATAACCTGATTTTAGAAGTTTTAAAATCTGGGCCAGATCAGAGAAATTGTCAGTGTACTTTTTCTTTTAGTTCTACTTTGTTTGGTATTTACTGTGAGTTTTGTTCACCTTGTAGCATCTGATCATTTCCAAACCTTTGCTTTTTTGCGATTCCTTAAACGTCTTTGGGTCTGATTTATTCACGCTGACACCGAAGACTTTAAACTTTGTGTCAGTTTTTGTTTCACGTGCTCAGGTCCAATAATTACAGAGACATGAACCATAAACCAGGTCAACAAATCCGCACTCTGCTCCTCCGGTTCACTCTTTACTGCATAAACTCATCATCTCGGTCATAAATCGTCGAGTGTAACATTTCAGAACTGTAGATGTGTCGTGTTTTTATGGTACTGTAGATATACGGTGTTTTTATGGTACTGTAAATCTTACGCATTCAATAATGTTATATTATTTAAAGCATTGATTGAACAGACTTTGCCAGGATTGATCGAGAGCGAGGGCCAAGACAATGGAGACGTGGTTTAAATATAGTGTGAAATAAAGTGACAGAGCTTTTTCTTTCTCTCTCCGCTTCGAGCAAATGAGTCTGGACCTCCTCCGTCAAACTACCGTATTTTTTGGACTATAAGCTGCACCAGAATATAAGTCGCACCAGCCAAAAAATGTGCAATGAAGAAGAAAAACACATATATAAGTCGCACTTTTTGGGAGAAATGTATTTTATAAAATCAGAGACCAGGAACCGACATTTACATCTTAAAAGTTGTAGTAAAAACAATAGAAGAGAAAACAACGGACTGTTTACGTCACATATGAACAGTTCTTCAGATAAACTATAACATAAACAACAGAACAGAACAAGTTTAACAAACTCTCCATCTCACTCCAAATCACTAAATCCATTCAATTCTTCATCCTCGGTGTCACTTCTGAACAACTCGGCCTCGACCTCCGGAGGTAAACAGAGCGTCGCTTCCTCTTCTGTGTCGCTGTCGTCAGACTCAGCATCAGTTCCAGTTAGAATTATTCGGGTCTTTCTGAATCCCGACAGGATGGTTTCGGTGTCACTGAAGTCCAGACTTTGTCCATCCGTCCAGTGACTTCAGGAAAGTTTCATGGTTCATCCTCCCGGTGTCACAAGTTTCTCTCTCACTCCAAAACTTTCTTTCTGCTGCTCGATTTTCGTTTTCAGCTGCAGATTTCACGACTTGCAGTTTGTAATCTGCAAAATCTGATTTTGTTTTTAGGGGCATTTGTGTTCAGTTTTCTCAGTCGTCTTTATAAGTTTGTTTAAATGTTAAATTGTAGAAGTAACGTCGCGATCGACTGACATGATACAGACAGGACAGAGGCTCTTTCTGCAGGAGACATGCGCAGTAGAGCCAAGTGACAGTGGTACAGGAGGAACAGGAGCAGCAGATACTCACACACAAGACTAGAGCCTCTCCACACTTCACTGAAACATTTTAATATAGAAGTCGCACCGGAGAAAAAAAGCGCCACTTATAGTCCAAAAAACACGGTCGTTCTGTTTCATTCTGTCTCTCACTTACATTATGGATTCGGAGCAGCCAGATTATTCACAGCAGTGAGTTTAGTAGAACTTTTCATGACTTTCAGATTTGCCAGAGTGAATTTTTACCATCAGGGTAATACTAACATCACAACAACTAGCATGCTAACAGCGCATCAGTGCCACTCCCTGATTTGGAGACAATAAAAACATTGGTAACACTTTATAATAACCACACCTTATTTAGCCTTAAAGGTTGTATAGAGGATTTTTTTAAGAGAAGAGAAACACAGCGACAGTCCTTTTTCAAATGTTGTGCATGTGTGACACCACCTTCTTCCTCCACAGCCTCAGTAGAAACATCTCATCCCGCCTCTTTACTCTTGAAATCACGTTTGTTTACATCCAGTGCGCGTTCAGAATTACTGTTGAAGTGACCTGTCTGGAAATAATTTAGCGACCGACGCGTCTTCAGTTTTTAGAATCTTCGTCTGCTTCCATCGCGCGATCGCTGGAAGAATCACCTCAGTTTGTCTTCGCTCCTTTTCCCCTTCTCTCCTTCTTTCAGCGACCTCAAAAAAGGACTTTCTTTTGCGGCGAACCGGTCGTGGATCCTCGTCTGACATCGCGACAAACTTTGTGCAAACTGCGAAGAACCTACAGTTTAAAAAAGCCTCTAAGAACCGCTGCATAAACCACGTAATCCCCGAGCGCCGGCGAGTCAGTTACACTGGAAACTTGGGGAGTTTGAGTGACAACTTAACAGCCAATAGAAAATGAGGCAGCCTCGTTTTCTATTGGCTGATGTTTATCTGGCCTCAACACGTCCACAGTTGATGGATTTTCATTCTTTTTTTTTTTTTGGTCATCATAATTTCAAAGCTGCTGCGTCTCTGTCATGGTATTTTAAACTTTTATTGACGATTTGAAACTGAAAAAAAATCCTCCATACAACCTTTAATAAAGCATGAACAAAGGCTTAATTAATAATGAACAAAGACTTAATTAATAATGATTCTTAGTAATTACTTAATTACTGCCTTAATTAGCAGTTGCACTTCATTTGCCTGTGCTGTAAATAGTTACTCATAATTATTTCATACTTAATTACTCATGAACTAATCATTTGAGCATTTATTAATCATTAGTAAACTATGAGAGAATGATTTACTAATAATACAATGATAATTCAGGCAGCTGTTATCTGTTAGTTAAGTCTTTTTGAGAGCTTTTCTAAAGTGAAGACGAATTATGCTTGATTAAGAATTTACTAAACGTGAATCATTATTAATTAAATCTTTGTTCATTATTAATTAAGTCTTTGTTCATGCTTTATTAAGGATAAGTAAGGTGTAGTTATTATAAAGTGTTACCAAAACATTTTCTTGTAAAATCTCCAGAAAACGTTTCACGATGAGCCTTTACAGCTCCAGGGCCACATACAGCCCTTTGGTTGACTGACCGGCTCATTAAAGATCATTTGTGTGTCTTGCCCAAGGACACAGTAACAGCGTTCACCTGTGAGAGCTTTAATCGCGCCGCCAACCTGTGGGTCAGTGGATCTGAGCGCTCAACCAGTCACGTTTTTAC